TGAGGGAGGGAGTGAGTGTGAGGGAGGTGACGTGTGGGGGTGGGTCCTGTGTGGGAGGAGGGGTGCGTGACGTGTGAGGGAGGGAGGGTGACGTGAGGAGGGTGGGTGACGGGGAGGAAGGGCATGTGAGGGAGAGTGAGGATGTGTGAGGAAGAAGGATGTGAGGGAGAGGAGTGACGTGAGGGAGGTGACGTGTGGGGGTGGGTCCCGTGTGAGGGAGGGAGGGTGGGTGACGTGTGAGGGAGGGTGGGTGACGTGTGAGGGAGGGTGACTTGTGAGGGAGAGACCCGCCACATCTCACGCTCACTCTGAAAGGTTCTACATTACGGGAGGAGCAGCTGTTTATATCACCTGTTGACCCACAATAGACCAGGAGAACCTTCTTTCCTCCCTCCCTATTTTCTTCTTTCCCCCACTCATCCGATCTCTCCCTTACTCACTCCATTCCTCTGTTCGTCATCTATTCCTCTATCCCTTCACTCCTCCCTCCCTTCACTCCTCCCTCCCTTCCTCTCTCCCTCCCTGGTGGAAGGGAGAAGTAGGACTTTTCCTCCCTCTCTTGATCCGGAATTCTCCAACAAGCGGTGAGGAAGGGAGAGAGACTGGAGGGAGGGGCGAGAGAGAAACGGAGGGAGGGAGAGAGAAAGACAGGAGAAAGGGTGAAGGGAGGGAGAGAAAGAGAGATAGAAGTGGGAGAAGGGACGAAGGAAAGGAGGCAGGGGGAGGGATAGAGAAAGAAATATAGAAGGGAGAGAGGGAGGCAGGCAGGAAGGGGGAGGCAGGGGCAGGGGAAGATCAGGCAGGCAGAAGGGGAGGATAGAGAAAGAGATAGACGGGGAGGGAAGAAGGAAGGAAGGAAGGGAGGGAAGAAGGAAGGGAGGGAGGGAGGGAGGGAGGGAGGCAGGTGGTGGACTGCTTCAGGAATTTCCCTGAATGGAGTGAACCAATCTAACTTGGTTATTGCTCACAGCTGCATGGTGGAGCCTCGACACTTACCGCCTCCACTCACTCTATATACCTACACAAAATGGCTATATTTACTCTATGGCTGCTGTATATGACCATGTCTACTGTATATGGCTAAGTCTATACGGCTATATTTACTGTCCTCAATATAACTCTGTCTACTCTATGGCTATACTTACTTAATCTATTACTCATTTACTCTATATCCCTTTATGTCTTCCCTAAATGATTATTATTCACTCTATTACATTACGTGACATTGGGTGTAGTTATGATAATTTCTGTTACTCTCTATTCCTATATTTTCTCTGTATTTCTCTATTTCATCATATTTATTCTGTATCTGCTTTATTCTACGTGATAATATATTCAGTCATCTGTTATCTAAGTTGGAGATAAGAGTTAGCTTCTTATCTGTAACTGGATACGGGAAGGCATTGTCAAAACTGCTGTAGGAATGACGGTAGGGAGTTGTGAGGTAGTGCGTGTGTTCGTCAGGGCTGTGTTCGGTCGCTGGTGGCGTTTGTTTACGTTGATGTGAGGAAGTTTAATTCTCACCTCTACGCTCCTCTTCTCTCTGAAACACAATGCCTGATTAATGTTGAGTTTCTCCCATATACAAACTCAAGAATACACTCAAAATAACTTCAATATTAAGCCATACTAGAAAGCTACGATAACACAATTAGAAAAGGGAATTACATGTGTTTTAAGATAACCATTACAAAGATATGTTGACATAACTTAAAATGATACGAATTCACAAACACTTATTTTCAGTTCCAATTTGTATTCTACACCTCGAAGCTTGGAGTGTTAATAGAAAAACCAGAAGGAAAACTTAATACCTCTGGTGTGTGATGGCGTTAAGGAGTACTAGAAATAAACTGAGAAAACACACACACACACACACACACACACACACACACCGAAATTGGGTCAGATACACACAGCTGATGTCAATAGAGTGGCGAGAAGAATGAATGGTTACAGTGTGAAGAGGAATATGAAGGAAGGAAGGAAGGAAGGCAGGAAGGAAAATTGGTGCGTTAAAGGAATGGGGAGGAAGAAAGGCTGGACACACACACACACACACACACACACACACACACACACATGTTCAGGAGTGGTTCAGCATAAGTGATCTGGCTGCAGGAGGACAATATGCAAGATTTTGAAGGAACAACTTGAGACCTGTGGCTGTCAACCTCCACCTTGAGAACACTCCCATAAACATGTGTCTGTCTGTATGATGTGTATATAGACATGATTATAGTGTTGCCAGATCTGTGATAGTACCCCCTGTGTCCAGTCCCCAGTGTTTAAAGGTATAGACACAGTGTTATTAATCAGGCACATCAGTGATAAGTACCTGAAATTCAGACCATAGATGAACGCCATTGCCAGAATATGGGAGGCGAATTTAAGTCAGTTTAGATAGAGGGATTGCCGTCGAGCAGTGTTGAATGCCCGTGCTGGCGATGCATTAATAAACCTAGACTCTGCGGCTGCCCCCCCACACACTGACTGAAACGCTTTTAATAATTCATTCCCTTCGGCCAACCAACCATGAGCGAGGATATTGTAATCGTTTTGTATTTTTCATGTGAGGGAGGGAATTAGGGAGGGGTGGAAATGGGTGGAAAGGGAAGGTTGTGGAGAGAGAGAGGAGAGGAGGAGGAAGGAAAGGAGGGAGATAGGGAGGACTGTAATAAAGAATGGAAAGAGAAAAAGTATATTTTTTATTTCGTGAGTCTGTCCGCTGGAAGAAATATTGACTTTGAGGAAAATAGAAAGACTCTTCCCCCACCGTGTGTGAGAGATACTGGGGGGGCATCAGCCAGGGGGAGGGGGGTTAGGGAGGGGGAGGCGAGTGATGGTAGAGAGAGAAGTAACGGCTATTACAGAAAATATATTTTTAAGTTAGCTATTACAGAAAATATATTTTTAAATTAGCTTATTCTACGAACTGTGATGGGCTCGTGTGAGAGATTATGTAATGTATGTATGTATGTATGTATGTATATATGTGTGTATGTTTTTTATGTAAGGAAAGAAATGGGAGTGAAGTATCGTAAAATGATTGTTTAGTGAGGCGGGAACATACGTCTGGCAGCGCTACAGTTGTGTACATTAAACCTTCGTCTCTCTCGTGTTAACACTGAACCTTGACAGCTCTTGCCAGCCATTTATGTCTCACATCCGGCTTACACTACACTACACAACACACACCTGCTACAATATCCTCACTCACTAGATTGTTATTTATTCATTGTTTCTGTGTTTTATCTGATTATTGCTGTCATCCATTTAGTATTGACGCAGAATATAACGACCCCAAAAGCTTTATTTTATTGATATATACAGTAGGTAAAATAGCATTCGTTTTCCCAGCTGAGGAACACAAACGAAATACTGTACAAAGAAATATAGCGACTCATCCTGTCAAGCCATCTGACCTCGGCGCGATAACATGGTGATGGGTGGCTTTGTCCACCCCGCTCTGCCTGACGCACGACTAACGTATTTTTCATAGCTCTCGGGGGACAGTATCAAACGCTTGTGATATAAAAAGAGGTTGCACAGTTAGTAATAATTCCCCGGAGAAATAAATCCACATTTCTAAATCGTAAGTGTGAAACATAACGACAACACGCCATCATAATTTTGATGTTTTCCAGCCAACACAAGTTTTTAGATGAAGAATTCCCTAATGTAAACAAACTTGGTAGCATTTGTAGCTGAACCAAACTTGCATTCACAATTGAGTTAATTAACACAAACATAACAACGGACGGAGATATATTGTAAGTAATGGACATATTAATCAGAACAACTGTCGAAAAATGTAGAAAATGGATTAAGTTACGCGTTATTGTCGTACTGGGAGAGTGTACGGTATAGTGGAGGAAGATAATGTAATGAATTGTGTCCAAGTACTGTCTCGCTCGATCTCGTCTTTGTCTCTCCACCTCACCCTTCAGTCTCTCCACCTCACTCTTCAGTCTCTCCACCTCACCCTTCGGTCTCTCCACCTCACCCTTCAGTCTCTCCACCTCACCCTTCAGTCTCTCCACCTCACCCTTCAGTCTCTCCACCTCACCCTTCGGTCTCTCCACCTCACCCTTCAGTCTCTTCTCCTAATACCTTTTGTGAGATAAGCGAAAAGAAATACAAGAGATAAAGAGACGCTGATGAGATAGTGACGGGTGGGGGGGGGCGATAATGGATGCAGAAGGAGTTATGAAATGAGACAGAGAGAGGGGGTAAAAGTGAGGTGAGAGAGAGAGAGAGAAAGAGATAGGGTAAAATTGAGAAATGGAGATAAAAAATGAGAGAACGGTAAAAGTGAGAGAGAGAGAGAGAGAGAGAGAGAGAGAGAGAGAGAGGGACCTGTGGCTGGTCGACTTTTTTCTCTACCGGAGAAAGTAATTCCATCAGGTAGACCCTTCCTGCAGGCCTCTCCCTCACTCACTCACTCCCTTCCTTCTCACCCTTCTCCTTCCCTCTCACTCCCTTCCAATCACTCTCCTTTCTCCTTCCCTCTCACACATTCTTCCTTTCATTCACTCACCCCTTCTACCTTCCTCTCACTAACTCTCCCCCTATCTTTTCCTCCTTCCTCTCCCTACCTTCTATCTCTCCCTTCTCTCATTCTTCTCTCTCCCTTCCTCAATTCCCTTCTCTCTCTCTTTATCTTTTATTCCTTCTTACAGTGTTCTTGTTTACTCACAAAACCTTCATATTCACGATAGATAGATATCTAATCTCAACCACCATAACTAAATTCCTTCCTTCCTTCCTTCCTTTCTTTCTTTCATCCTACCTTCCTTTCTTTCATCCTTCATTCACTCATTCCTTCCTTCCTTCCTTCCTTTACTTTTATCCTACCTTCCTTTCTTTCATCCTTCCTTCCTTTCTTTCATCCTTCATTCCTTCCTTCCTTCCTTTACTTTCATCCTACCTTCCTTTCTTTCATCCTTCATTCACTCATTCCTTCCTTTCAGTCATCCGTCCGTCCGTCCGTCTTTCAGGTGTCGTGGATCCGGCGGAAGGACCTCCACGTCCTCACCACGGGCGCCTTCACCTACACGACCGACGGACGCTTCAGGGCGCTACACCTGGTGGGCTCCCCGTACTGGACACTACAGGTAGATGCGCCCCTCGTCAGCGACTCCGGCGTGTACGAGTGTCAGGTCTCCACGCAACCCAAAATCTTCAGGAGGTTTACTCTAAGTGTGGTCGGTGAGTCGTGACCTAAGTTTACCTGTGAGATGAGATAATTTGTTGCATAGTTATATCTTACTAATTAGTTTACCTGTACCTGAGAGATTAATTAATGGTTGTGTAGTTATAATAGCCTACTAATTAATTTACCTGAAGGTGAATTAAATATAGCATTCTACTAATTAGTTTACCTGTACCTGAGAGATTAATTAATGGTTGTGTAGTTATAATAGCCTACTAATTAATTTACCTGAAGGTGAATTAAATATAGCATTCTACTAATTAGTTTACCTGTAAGATGTAATTAATGGCTATGTAATTATATTCTTAGAATCAATTTACCTGTACCTGGGGAATTGTAATGTAATTAATGATGCACTAGTTATAATACCTTACCTAATTAGGTTATCTGTACTTGGGAGATAAATTATTATTAGCAATTTAGTAAGAATACTCGTATCCTAATGACTAAAAGTTAAAGTGTAGTGATATTCTTGTCATTGGTGAAAAATAAGTATTGGAACGTAATAGCGATAGAAATTGTTTTTAATGAATGTTATTAAGAATTATAAAAACACTGATAGTTTAGGGTATTAAGATGATGATAATAATAATAATAATAATAATAATAATAATAATAATAATAACAATAACAATAACAATAATAATAATAATAATAATAATAATAATAATAATAATAATAATAATAACAACTCACCAATATTAACCCAGCCCATTATCTTAATTCAGGATACGTACCCGGGTTCGTGGTGGTCGGGAAGGTTCATTCATAATAATGTTTTCAGTACCGAGCGCGGAGATTCAGGGAACTCACCAGATGTTTATGAAGGCTGGCAGTGACATCAACATCACCTGTATTGTCACTGGCAACGTCCGCGGCTCACCTGTCACCTGGTACCACACCTTGCCACGCCACAGTGAGTACCATGACCACAGTACCACGCCCTCCCATGTTCATAGTACCACGCCCTCTCTTGCCTTAGTAATAACTTAAAAGATTACATATTTCATATACGTTACTTAACTACTTAAACATGGAGATGACACTTTATGACTTAAGTGTCTGTTTACAATTACTTAAGAGAGGTGGTCATGTTTTATAAGTTAAGGGGAGGTGTTCCTACTTTACTAAATCTCCATAAGTGAAATGAACCTACTTTTATCTTGTCATAAGTGAAAGAAGTCAACACACACACACTTATTTAAGCAACTTAACATTGGTGAGGTGATTCTACTTAATATCTTGCCATAAGTGAACTGAACTTACTTAATATCTTGCCATAAGTGAGCTGAACTTACTTAATATCTTGCCATAAGTGTGCTGAACTTACTTAATATCCTGCCATAAGTGAGCTGAACTTACTTAATATCTTGCCATAAGTGAGCTGAACTTACTTAATATCCTGCCATAAGTGAGCTGAACTTACTTAATATCTTGCCATAAGTGAGCTGAAATTACTTAATATCTTGCCAAAGTGAGCTGAACTTACTTAATATCTTGCCATAAGTGAGCTGAACTTTAATATCTGCCATAAGTGCTGAACTTACTTAATATCCTGCCATAAGTGAGCTGAACTTAATATCTTAATAAACTTACTTAATATCTTGCCATAAGTGAGCTGAACTTACTTAATATCTTGCCATAAGTGAACTGAACTTACTTAATATCTTGCCATAAGTGAGCTGAACTTACTTAATATCTTGCCATAAGTGTGCTGAACTTACTTAATATCCTGCCATAAGTGAGCTGAACTTACTTAATATCTTGCCATAAGTGAGCTGAACTTACTTAATATCCTGCCATAAGTGAGCTGAACTTACTTAATATCCTGCCATAAGTGAGCTGAACTTACTTAATATTTTGCCATAAGTGAACTGAACTGAACTTACTTATAACATAAACAAAGTCATCCATTACTTAACTCCACCTACCACGAGTGTGTGTGTGTAACAGCGTTGACTCCCTGAACTCCAGCTACTAGCGTGGAGGTGGAGGAGATCAACGCAGGTGGTCGTGGCGGCGTTCAGCTGGTGACTGACAAACATGCGGGTACCAGCTGGCTCTTGGTCACTCATGCCACCTGGAGAGATGCCGGGAACTACACCTGTGCTCCCGCTAATGCCAGACCTGCCACTGTCGCTATACATGTACTGGACGGTAAGTACCTACCTGACGGCGTTACCTACCTGACGGCGTTACCTACCCGACGGAGTTACCTGCCTGACGGAGTTACCTGCCTGACGGCGTTACCTACCTGACGGCGTTACCTACCCGACGGAGTTACCTACCCGACGGAGTTACCTACCTGACGGCGTTAACTACCTGACGGCGTTAACTACCCGACGGAGTTACCTGCCTGACGGCGTTAACTACCTGACGGCGTTAACTACCCGACGGAGTTACCTGCCTGACGGAGTTACCTGCCTGACGGAGTTACCTGACACACCTGTAGCGTTATTAGGTAAAAGTAGTAATTAGGATTAGTATTTGTGATTGTATATTAATATTAGTGAAGGTAAGATTGGGATGTGTGTGTGTGTGTGTGTGTGTGTGTGTGAAGGTAGAATTTGAGTATGGTGAAAGAATTTAAGGGTGAAGAGAGAATTTGTGAGTGGCATTATTGAGAATTTATGATAGCCTTGCAAGCCGCCATCAGTATTAATGACAATAGCCAGAATTTATCAAAGTTTTGAATAATAAAGTTAGAAGTATGTACACCGAGCCAGAATTTATATACATGAAGCTAAAATGAAACCAGAATTCCTATCAAGCCAGAATTCGTGTACTTTATCAAGCCATAATTTATAAAAGCCAGAATTTACATATCAAGCTATAATTCATACCAAGCTAGAATGCATATCAAGGCAGAATTACTTTATGTATAAGCTAGAATTTATTGAGCATTAGTCAACACGTGACCAGGAAGCTTTAAGATAACGTATTCAGGTGTCCTTGTTGCAGAGGAGGCGCCTGCCGCCATGCAACACGACTTGCAACCCAACGCTGCTAGCAAGGCATCCACGCCCACCTCCCACGTCCTACTGGCGGGCGTGCATCTGCTGCTGCTTCTGGAGGCGCACTGGGGGCGTATACGGGCGTGGGGAGACGGCGTGAGGTGGTGGTGGGGCGTCGTGGTGGGGATGGTGACGACGACTACGCCCAGGAGAGTGTTGTCCAGTACCTTGTGTTGACCTTGTTGCTGGTGGGCCAATCTCTTCCTCCTCCTCCTTCTCTCCTTCCTCTCCTCTCCTTCTCTTCCTCCTCCTCTCCTCTTCCTTCACATCTGCATCACCATCTGTCTTGTGAGTTTTTACAGAATATACGTATGTGTAATTATGTACATATATATACTTGAATGAGCTGTTTTGTATGAGATCAAACTTATGTATAGGAGTGTATGAACTCTTGTGTATATACAGCTGCCCAATGTTTGTGTATATACTTATGTGTGTATGGGTATTTATGATTGACATAGTGTATATACGTATTTATATGTTTGTAAACGGTTCTTCCACCTAGATTCTATTGATTCTATTTACAATGTGGTCGCGCTGCCGTGAGAACATCTGCAGCCAAAGCGCGTGTGGCCGACGGACCTATTAAGACTTTGACCCGACCTAAAAATATACCAGGAAGAGATGACGAAAAATTAAGTTTTATATTTTCAAAAATCAAATTATTTCGGTAAAAAAGTCTCTCATTTGATATATAATTAATAACTCATAAAACAACAACAGTAAATGATCTGTTTAAAATATATTAATATATGATTTAAGAGTTTATATGTTGTTGTTGTTTTTTATCTGACAATCAAAATCGGCTTAGAATCCCTTCATATCAAAATACTTTATTTATGTATTTGCATAATTATTAGATATTTTATAAAGTTTATACTTAGGTTTTAAAAAGTATATGCGGCATTAAACAAAATGTTAGTTATATGTTCCCCATGTTCCAATACTTTAGCTGACTGCAGAAGTTGTCATGAGAGTGTTAGGACAATAATGATATAGCTTTTTTTTTCCTGAAATGAATTGCATTCCAAAATTTATTGTCATATTTACATATACAAAATACGAGAGGGTTGGACCTTTTCCCCGAGAGATGACGTCACAAACCTGCAGCTGTTGATTGGCTGATTGATAAAATACAAAGGGATAAATCCTTCCCCAAGTGGTTACGTCACTAAGCTTGCAACCGTTAATTAGCTGACTGACAATACCAGAGATAATGTCCTTACCCTTATTATTAGTATTGCTTAACTAAACACAAGAAGATTTACCCACAGAGGCATTGTATATTTAGGCATCAATAATATTTTACACTCGGCTCCCTCTCCCTTAATGTCTACACTCGGTCCATCGCCCGGAGTTTTAAACAACATCTTCCCTTGACGGGGGTCATTGCGTCGAACACCATAGTTTTAAATGTGAAGGACCTTTAACTGCAGCGCACGATGGAGAATGGTGGCGGGGAAACGAACTAATAATACTGGAATTTGAAGCGGTAACTATAGTGGGTTTTTTCTCAGCTGTACGATTTTGTTCTGAAGTAATGATGTATTTCTAAACGAGTTTATTCATAATCGTTGGGATGACCGTTTCTGACAAAGATATTTAGCTAAATTATATAAAGATACATACATTCATTATTTCAAACATAAGTATGTAGAAGGTTTATCAAAAGTATTATACATGAATTAACTGTTAAACTCTGGTAGCAAATTCACGCTTTCGGAAGATGCATTTAATATATACTTATTTTTACCCACAATGAGGCATACTAAGACAAATTACGTAACAGTAATACTACATTATGCAAAAACAACATTTTAAAAGATCAGAATCACTTTGAAATATTACACGACCGTCAGCAGAGGCGGGAAATATGACGCGAACTTCATATTTTTCTCAATATTATGACATTTTCAAAAGACGTGTTTCGTGTTATTGCCAAATGTAAGCTCGTTCAGCTGCTGGAGTCCTCTCATCTTACTAACGCTGGTACGATAATACTGAAAAAAAAAATATTTTGTGAGATGGGAACCAAATAAGTCTCTTCCTCCCATATAATTGAATTGGGTAAATTGTGCGAGAGGTTGTAGTCATTTTCACCCTACTTAACGTAACCAACTTGGCAACAAAATACAACTTTTTGAACTTGCTTTATTTTAATGCTTTCCCAGATCTTCCTTAGTTGTTCAGATCGCCGAGGCCCATATCCCTCAGCGTTGAAACTGGTTGCTATCCGCATCCATGCTTGCTTCTTTAAACCAACAATCTTTCCGCATGTGTTATTATTCTGCAGAACTTTTTCCTCCCCAATCAAATGAACTAATAACTCCCGTTCTCTATGAGGTATAGGACTTGGCCTTGTTGATTGAGTGGAATAAATTATTCATGATGAGAGTACATTAGTCTTGATATTACCGCCAGCTGTTGTAATGTAAACACGAGTAAGACGACCCATAATGCATTAGCGAAGGTGACAGGATTACCAACCCTACCCTACTTGGTCCCACACGAAGGGGAAGAGGTTCAAGCAATTAAAACTACCGCTTGTAAACAATTCCTACAAGAAGGCTCTTTGTCGGTGAGGAAAGATGTTTAAAACTCCGGCGATGTATTTCCTTATTCATATTTCATTTACATGTGACCAGGAGTTATGTCACTTACCCTTTAAATATTTAGGAATTACCTGAAGATTAGGCCCAGCTTATTTCACCTAAAGATTAACCACCCTAACGCTAACCTAACCTTATGTCACATCTTAAAAACTCTCCTACTTTCTAGCTATAAAGTTTGTTAAAATCCTCCATTTAAAATATTTTAAGATCAAATTAGCAAATTTATTAATTCCTCCTGTAATCGTCACTGAAATTCGTGCTGCGCGTAAAGTTAATCGCGAACAGAAAAAAAAATAAGGTTAAGTCACTAAAACGAAGAGAAATAACACTTAACCACCTCACTCAGTATTTTGTTGCATTCCCCTTCCGTTTCAGACAGCCTTTGCGCCTCCTTGGAGCACTTTCAGCAAGGTTTTGGAGTAGTTCAGGAGTCAAAGAAGCCCAGACCTCTTTAATTGCTGCCTCTAGCTTGGGAATAGAAAGCGTGTTCATGTCACGAAGGTGTCTTTTCATGATTGCCCAGAACTTTTCAATGGGATTTAAGTCTGGACTACTGCCTGGCCAGTCACTGAAATAGTTCACTTCACAGTCCTTCATCCACTGTGTCTGGGGGCACCATCTTTCACAAAAATGTCTGCTTTGGCTTTCTCGAATGATGAAGGTAAAAAATTTTCACACAGCAGTTCCAAGTAATTGTACTGGTTCATGATCTCAACTTAACCTAACCAGTTTCCCAACACCATAATACCCAAGACCCCCAAACCATAAAAGTTGCAGGGTGCTTCAGTGTCTTCACCGTGTATTGGGGAAGGTACACGTTAGAGTGGGGGGTTGACCCCCCTCCACTGCTCTCAGTCACAGAAAATTTTGCCTTATGACTCCTTAATATAGTCCTCCACTCTTCTAAGTCCCATTCTCTTATACTTTTGCAGAACTTAGTCCTGTTCGCCTTCTGCTTCTCTGTCAGTAGTGGTTTGCGGCGGGCACGGTAACTCTTAAACCCGAGATCATTGTGCAACACCTGCTGAATGCACCTTAGTGACACATGTCCCAGCGGACTCGTTTTCCTTCCCTTCCCGGGTTGTAAGCAAGGGGCTGGCCTTCGCCTGCCTAGAGACAATTTTAAGGTTCCTTAGAGACAATAACTTGGGTCTACCAGACTTGGGAAGTGGAGCTGGTAAGCTGTCCTCCCCCTCTCCTTGTAACGTCGCACGAGTCCTTGAACACTACGGACGTTCACACCAGTTTGAGCCGCTATATGTTCGAGCTCGTGCTCTGCTTTAAACAAATCAATCTGCCACAATATCCTCCCTATTTGTGACTTCTGGGCATGATGGGTGGGCACAATAGCAGGGCACGTGACCTCCCATACACCAGTGGAAGGATAAAGGGGGGAACGGAAGGGAGTTGTAGTGGGAGAAAAAGGTGCTGTGGCTTGACGCAGCTTGCTTGATGGTGGTGGGGTTGTCCCCAGATTATTGGGAGCAGCAGCGTCACCTTGCCCGGCTGCTGCAGTAGGAAGGGACCAGGAGTCAGGTAGGTGTCAGGTGTCCGTTCTTCTTGGTCGGCTTTTTACTTTGGTGTGATTTGCGTGTTCGTTTGGACGGGCTGCTCAAAAAAATATATCCAGGTTTTTTTGTTTTTGTTATCTGGGTTCTTGTTTTTATTTAGTTCTTGTTTTCTTCATTTTTTTGGGGGGGGGGGGAGGAAGTTTGTTACGTTGATGTTCTTCTTTTTCTCCTTTTGCTCGTTTGGATTGACCACTCCCGAGTGTTTTGATCTTGTTGTTCTTGTCGTTGTTGTTTATAGATGTTCATAAATCCTGTTGAGGAAATTCTTAGTGGTGACGTTTCTTGTTCTGCCTATGGATTCTTGTTTTTCTCTGTTTTTTCTTCACTTCTTGTTTCTTCTCTTTTTGTCTTCTGTTTTTACTGCAAGGAAAGCTTCCTTGTAGCTCATTCTCTTGTTGAGTCGCACCTTCGCTATCCTGCACTCCTCCCTCCATTTAGGGGCACTTCCGGTCGGCATAGGAGTGTGTGTGAGGCGCCACAAGCTGCACATTTCTTGTTTTTGTTAGGACGCCCGGTGGTTCCGCTCTGGGCGCATACGTCCTCCTGAGCCCTGCACTTCTTGGCAGTGTGACCGTAACGTTGACATTTGTAGCCACGTGTTGGTCTGCAATATGGTGAAACTGGGATGATTTCCCAACCCAGTTGTATTTCCTTTGGTAGGGTCTCTTGGTGGCCGACCAGGGCCGTTGTATTGGTCAGCCTCTTGCCAACGTGGAGCTGTCCCTCGAGAGTATGTGTAGATCATTTTATTCCAAGTGTCCAATTCCGGCGTGGGAAATCACTCCCAGCTCCAGAATGTCCTCTGCATAGAATCGTCTCTTGATTTCGACGCCATTGGTGACCTTCGACAGTTGATAGATTTGTCCGAATGTAGGAAAGAATGGCACGGGAGAAAATGGCTATAAGAAAATATCGCACCGGAAGAAAGGCATAATCATCAGACTACGAAAAAATGACACATTAAATTTTAGTGACATGGTTCGCTAAAATTTTATAACGTTTGTTACTGAAACTTACTTGGTTATATCAACGTCATAACATAAAACATTTATTACCGTTAACTAAAACATTCTACCGTATGTTAGTGAAAACTCGTACATAAATTAAATTACAAAATTAAAAATGTCACATTGTATATTATTGTTTAAGATTTCCAACGCATGTTATAGCCAGCGCCTTGCAAAATCTCTTGGACTGACTTGCGACCAGCGGCGGTCCTGGCAGAGGGTCTTCAGTCTTGTCTGGAGGTTCTTGTACACTCGTTTTTAGCGCTTCCTGGGTGGCTCACCACGAGATTTTTTGACGATTTGAGATGATACAAGAGCATGGTCAGCTTGGATCCACTGGATGGAATGCCAGATAGTTGGGTGGCTGTGCCCAACCAACCTGGTAGTAGATGCAGTAAAGAAGGCTTTGAAAGGAATGAGTAAGGGCAAAGCAGGAGGGGAAGATGGCTTAACCAATGACCTGATCAAAGATGCAGGAGATTTTGTATTAGATAAGCTCCTAAAACTCTATATAAAATGTTTACAGACCCACACTGTACCAAGAGCCTGGAAGAATGCAACAAAGATCTAAAGAACTATCCACCAATAAGCCTGCTCTCTCTAGTTTACAAGCTCTTCACAAAAGTAATTACAAGTAGAATAAGTGCTGTACTCTACTCCAGCCAGCCAAGATACTCCACAACTGATCACATCCACACCATCAATTAAGTTATGGAAAAATCTTCTGAATGTAATAAACCATTATGCATGGACTAACAATGGCTGATGATGCCCAACCAACTTGCTGTATCGGTTATTCCATCCCTCACAAAGGTTGTTCGTGCGTGATTCATCATTGGGCGTTGCTTTATGAACGTTCCACATTTCTGGGGTACCGTGGAGGGATGCGACGCAGATGTATTGCCTGGACCTGGTCATCATGCTCGTCGATAACTACCAGTCATGTAGGTCTGGTCGAAGTCTGTGAAGAAGGGCTCCATGCTATCTAGTGTGTGGTCTCTGAGGTAATCAATGCCAGCAGGAATATCCTCAAGAGGGAAGAGAGCTAGACTGTCTACCATCCCACAGAACAGCTTGACGTCCTCACTGTCCTTGTAGATCGTCGCTAGGCCAAGTTCTTGTATCTTTCTCCAGGATGCCTGTGTCAAATGGTAGAAGCAACCACGACAAGTCACTTCGGTTCCGAGGACAGCCGCGATGGCTGTATTATTCTTAAAGTTCTTACTGTTTGTCTGTTGTCCATTATTTCTTAAACTTGGATTGTGGCAGTTGGAGTGGAGACCTATCTTCCTGTTTCCTGCTTCTGACTCTCCTAAACTCTGACGGGTCTAGTATTTTAAAGTCAGTGGTCGTAATCTTTTGTTTGTCCATGTGATTAGCGTCCAAAAGTATTCTTCGCTGAAGGATTTTTCTTGACATGTCCAC